AGTGCGGGTTCGAAACCTACCAACGGCAAGTACCAATGTGACTTTTTCCGAGTTATATGTACTTTCTAAGAATATCTAGACACCGCTGACAAACCGTGATGGAAAACATCGTGAGGAGACCTGGGCTTATAATTTCTTATGTCTGTAATCGCCAACCCGTATTGAGCAAGCGTGGTGCTTAATGCTCAAACCTTTTCCATGTGAGAAGAGGCTTTGCTCAGCAGTGGGCATTTATAGGCTGTTGATGATGATGATGACTGGTTAGTCATCATCATCATCAACCGTAAGCAACCGCTTACCATCAGACGATACGGCAGCTCGTTTGTCGCTCTAAGTTTATGCCATAAAACAGAGAAATTATTTGCTCTTTCATTTTCAATCCATTCCTTTTTTTTAAATAAAACGTTCCCTCACACTAGGATTATCTCCTGTGTCGTGGGTGCGTTTACAAACATACAAGTTCACATACACATGACACCCAGACCCGAAACAGCAATCTGTGGATCACACAAACAGTTTTTTCGTGCGAGAATCGAACCCGCGACACGTCGCGTGGCTGCCAATTGCCCAACCGTGCAGTCGATTGAATTTCAGAGTTTGTTTATTTTTTGGTTAATAGTAACAGATAATGCAAGTCAAAAATTATAAGTATTCTATTAATTTATTAGATTCGTGCTCGCCTCCTGTACATGATGCCGACTCGCAACACTCCATTCCTAACGATGAGGAACATCTTCGCGAGCAGTCTCCCCGACCTGGCCGCGGAGCAACAGCTGCAGGACGGACAGGTCCTCGAAGACGCACAGGTATTATACTCATCAAGGTTTCTTCGAAATAAAGCATTTGCCTGCGACTTTATTTATGTAACCCCCCTTTTTTCCCTGTATATAGGTATTTTGAGAAATTCTCCCTTAATTCTCCCCAAGTTATATACACTTGGGAGTGAATAAACTTAGCCACTAGCAATTTTCTTTTTCATTTCTTGATGAATATTTTCTTATACAAATATTTTATTAATTGGTACGGTAAAATGGAGTGAATAGGGTTTGACCGGCGAAAAGGGTGAATCGGTACTATGAAGAATTTCCTTATATCTATTCACCCCTCTCGATCCCTATTCACCCCATTTTACGGTAACATATGTCGTATTAAAGGCAATTTAGTTACCTTTAAAATGAGATAATTTTGTTGGAAAGGTAATATTTTTCTTTTAAGTTAGAGGACTAGTTGTTGCCCGCGACACTGTCCGCATATAATAATGACTTCTGGCATAATTTTGGCTTTTGAATTAGTCTTTATCACGGTATATTTTACGGTAACGAATGTCGTCACAATTGATTCAGTACCTAGTATAGGGCTCCTCCCCCGTTAGTTGTTAGTAATATTCATGCAAAATTTGAAATAAATTCATGCAGTACTTTTTGAGATCATCCCAGACATACATATAGACAAACAGACAAAAATTCTAAAAACCATATTTTTGGCTTCGATATCGATTGTAGGTCACGCTCCAAGTATTCTTTTAAAAAATATTCATGTACAGTTTTGACTTTTCTACGTAGATTCGATAAAATGAAAAAAAAAAACATGCTAGTGGCTTCGTTTTGTTTGTCGTGTCCAGGTGTATATTTATACAAGTCTCTCAGGTAAGTTAGCCATAATCGCGACCCCGGGATAAGGCAGGAGATGGAGTGAGGTGGTTTTGTAGTCAGAAAGTGTAACTGCTGTATTCAGAGACGTTCATTGATTACTTCAACTATTACTTAGTACCTAACGATTTTGTTGACGAAAATATTTATTGAGGAATTCATTCGTGTTACCGATTTTAAGTGAATTGACAAATTATATTTAATTTATGTTTCGAAAACAATTGTATAGCGGCGCTCTGATTGGCCGGCTCCAATGACCCAACCAATAAGAGCGCCGAACTAATTTGATTGCCGACGTAAAACAAACGTTTAAGTGCGGGAGAGCCATGCTTCGGCACGAATGGGCCGGCTCGACCGGAGTGATACCACGGCCAAGCAGAAAACCGACGTGAAGCAACGCTTGCGTTGTGTTTCTGAATCCCCAACGATCCTCAAACTCCTAATCCCCAAAAGGCCGGTAACGCACTTGTAACGCCTCTGGTGTTCCAAGTGTCCATGGGCGACGCCGATTGCTTACCATCAGGTGATCCGCCTGCTCGTTTACCGGCTTATACCGGCTTATAGTGATCGGTCAACTCGCTCACTAATAAAAAAAATGCCAATAAAACAAATATACAAACAAATAATGAAAGCCAACATTGTAATAGGTTTACTAGTTTTTTTTACCGTTGCCCCACACTAGGATTGTCTCCTGTGTCATGGGTGCATTTACAAACATACAAGTTCACATGCACATGACACCCAGACCCGGAATAACAATCTGTGGATCACACAAAGAGTTGTTCCGTACGGGAATCGAACCCGCGACACGTTGCGCGGTAGCCAGTTGCCCAACCACCGCGCCAAACGTACAGTCGACTATATCATTGATTTAGTTACAAACAAATATTGTAAGGAGGTTATATTAAAACCGTGGATATTCAGTTGATGAAGTGAAAGAGGTATATTAGAATCGTAGCAATTGGCGTAGCAATAGTCATTATGTAGTATTACAATTATAAACAACTTAGTTTACATTAGATTATTAGTTATTAGTGACCGGTAAAACTATTTAGACACCACTGACAAACGGTGAAGGAAACATCGTAAGGAAACCTAAGCTTATAATGTCTAATTATAAGTTTGAAACCGCATTAAGCAAGCGTGGTGATAATGCTCAAACCTTATCCGTGTGAGAAGAGGCTTTGCTCAGCAGTAGGCACCATAGGATGTTGATAGGCTGTTCACAGTTGTTTCTAGTAGCTGGCGCTATTATTTGTAGTTTTGGTAATCAAATATGTTTGGTCCAATGCAAATGCAAGCTACGCGCAAAATCTAAAAACATTTTCTTTTTAGTGTATATCTTTACTGTAGTAGTAATAATATATCTACTGTAGTAACTACGTTGTACCTGTAGTAGACATCGAGTGAGTTGATAACAAGACTTCATGGTTCGAATTCTAGGTCTTAAAATACATAAAAATACAGGAAGTAAAAAAGGATTTATTCTCTACAAGAAACTACTAAATCGACCAATAGTTACAAAAGATTGGGCTTGTTAAAAACCATATAATTTAGTATACTAAGTTGCGATTTTTCAATATTCAGTCAAATTTTATCACATTATTTTTGACAAACCTTCCATATTAAAAACTGACATCTGTCAATTTTATTCTATAGTTATGAATTATCTGTTGTTTGAACAATTGGTCCTCAATTACATAGTTTAACAGCGTCGGCTATGCGAACTACGCCAAACTAACTTAACTTAGCTTTGTTCTGCAATCGGCTTCACTAGGGAACAGTTTAAGACTCAGTTCAGTACAGATACTGAGTCAATCTTTGATAATTGTGCTGGCTCCCCTCTCTACCCATCCCTTTATAGACTAATATGTAAAAGCTGAGCTTAAGTATAAGCTCAGCTATCGCTAGTAAGCGATAGTCAGGACTGTAAGTAAAACTCTGATTAAGAGAAGTCATTTATTTATTACAATAATACAAAAAATGTCAAAACAATAAAAAATATTAAAAAAATATAAATGCACTTAAATCGCTTAAAAATTATAGTATACGAGTCTATGTTTGTGCATTGTTTACACACAGTTCTGAATTATTTTTGTCGAAAACCCTCATAGGTAGACCATTTAATAATATCGATACTTAAATCTAAGAATGAATAACAAAATTATAATATGTAAAGTAAAGTAACTTGACTTATGACATTTAATAGTAACTTGAATAGAAAATACGTATGAAATCGTTGACTTAAATCTATTACGTTAAAAATACTTAATACATAATTTTCAACATCTTATAAGAACCTTCAGAAAATATTTGTAAAACGGAAATATAGTTCGCTTACTTATACTTGGTACTTTTTGTAGGGTCTCATTTCATAACACGAATACAGTACGAATGGGGGAGCTAGTGTGAACGTCTTGTCTTTTCATCCAATAGGGAATCGGCTAGCGTCACACCATTGGTCATTCATCTTTTGACAGCTACAGGGGGCTTACTCTTGAATCCAATTCCGATCGATCGACATTGACATTGTTAAATTGCGTACTCTTGAACTGCAACACTAGCGTCCATTGCATCCGTATTATGTGGATAATTAATGAACTAAATTCTCTTGAGATTAACACAAACTCATATTCCATACTCTGAATGCTACTTTAACAGCCACGATAAGGGTTGTATATTTTTGACATTGAATAATTGTTGAGATTTTATTGGATTGAAATTACTTTGACATTGAGAATGGTTTCAATCGTAAGCACCCAGTGGTTGGACAAACTGACCTCTTGATAAATTTGCGCCATTTGGTATTGAAAGTAGGTTCTTATAAAATGTGAAATTGTGCACGGTTCCAAAAAACACATCCATCATGGAGAAGAACCGGCAAGAAACTCCATGGAAATTACAAGCGGACTAATATTTAAAATAATAATTATTAAAAAAAATTGTAATGCCTAATGCCTACTACAACATCGATTAAATGCTAATTAATTATAACATTTTATAGTTAAATTACGTAGATATTAAGAATAAAACTTAATCAGGGTTACATCTGAGGTAGGTGGTACTTGACTGTTACGTAATGATATTATTGTACCTATTTTTATGGCGACGGAATCGAAGCTGGCGAATATCAGCGGATGTCGGGGACGATTTATTGACTGTAGGACTGATTACTCAGTTGTTATTGCAAGTGTCGGAATGTAATAGCGCAGTTTCCAACTAGTCGAGTTGAATACCTTTTTCGAAAGGTACAATACGAGATTGAGTATTGTGACGTCATAAGATTTGTACGTCAAATATACCTTTTCTTAAATGTGTCTAGAAAAATACGAAAATTGCGTATATTTCAATGAATTATTGAAAATGTGACTCCTTCTTAATATTTTACTGTATTAAACATTCGAAACGATTTATTTCTAGCCATGGAATTCTATTAATTTTGTAGGTACCAACGAGTAATCGCGTGATATGTATCTTGACTTCACAATTATAGTACGTCCTGTAGTTTACTTATTTATTTAAAAAATACTAGAAAAATATGAACAATAAGTTGGTAATGGAAACGATAAAAGAAAGTGTGATAATTTTTGTAAATTTTGTTGTATTGATTGGTTTAAATAATTTAATTTTGACTGAGGAAACTAAGGGTAGGTTCCACACAGATACCTGTGTCTGTTTCACACAGATACCTGTGTGTGCTCATTAGGTACTTGCCTTAATCAAAAATGAATTATTTCGACTGTTCAATACAATAAAATACTAAAAAATAATCACACTTTCATTAATTGATTTTATGACCCACATAATTTTAGTATTGACCAGCAATTTTTTAAGAAATAAAAGTACGCTGTTCGAGGCTAAAAAACGTGACGTCACAATTTACAATCTCGTACAAAATACATGGAAAACTGTCGTTTTTGACAGTTCGAAAAAAGTATTGAACTTGAGTAGTTGGCAAGTAGCGGCGACGGTGCCGTGACGGTCGGACGCCATCATGCAATATATGAGATGTTTGATGGTAATAAGCTCTATATCATACACGAAGCTCCTTAGGACTGTGATTTACAATATCAAGTCAGAAAATAGATTTACTGCCGCCTTAAATTATGATTTGTACCTTTTTGCATTTGTATAGAAGTTATTTAAATGTAAATACATTACTTTAATCCGGTGGGACCAATGTCTGGTTAACTAACATAATAAAGAGTGTTGTAAATGTCACTCGTGCCCAAATGGGAGCGAATGTTATTTATCTATGATTGGCATCGAAATGTCCAAAACGAATAGTGGTAAATTGTTTTGAATGCTGCCATGTTTAGTTGCAAAACTGACACCTACCAGAAGCGACGCCAGTCGAGATGTTAATGTTGGCTGGGTGCAGTAGCTGGTAGGAGTGACGTTTGCGCTGTGGCCACATCGCCGCGACTGACACCGCTGGGTCCTGGCGTGGGGTGCAGCTGCTGTGCAATGAATGCGCTCGTCAAAGATCCGAGAGTCTGTGGTCGCGTGTAACTCACTGTACTCTGTACTTCCTCTGAATTGTTTTCCGATCGTACATTTTCTTGCATATGCATATTTGCTTCATTTATTGTTTCATTTTGATTCTTTACAAAATCTTCCTGATTTTGCTTGGTTTCAAGTCCAGGTTTCAAAGCCCAGTTCTGTTGTAGCATCTTAATATTCTGTTCGAAAGTTTCACTTCTTTCTTTTTCCTGCCTTTTTATATCTTCGATATTTACTTTGTATGTTTGTTTTAACTCGGCGTAACGCTGTTCTAGTGATGCAATACGAACAAGGTAGTCAGATTTAAGCTGCTCTTTGGCCGCCTCGTATGACTGGATCTTGGCTTCTAATTCAATTTCTCTCTGAAATTGTTCCGTTTCGTTATCTAGTGAAGTCTGCACTGACTGTACATTTTCCATCTGAGCTTTATTATCTTTGATACTCTGAATGTTGGTGTGTATTTCTACCCTTTTTGTATCTGCTTGCAACTGCATTGTCTCAATGCTTTGATTGAATCCGACTATAAATGCAGTCAACTCGTTTTCTAATCGTGTGATGGTACTTTCTAATTCTTGTCTTTTTTGTGTTTCAAATAATTTCATTTCAGCTTCAAGTTGACTTTTGCGCTCAGACGAGCATTTTTCTATTAGCTTACAGTTCTCTTCCACATCCGATCTGAGCTTAATCAGTTTAATTTCTAATTTATTAATGTTTTCATCCATTTTTTGTTTTTTAATTTTTTGTGCTGCGTTTACAGTTTCAATAGCTTGTTTAATACTTTTTTCCCGTGTTTTAAATAGACGATTGGTTCTTTCTCTTTCTTTCTTAATTTTATCTGAGTGTTTTGCTAATTGATCTTTTAACTTTTTAATTTTTGCATGAGTATCAGCCTTGATTTGTTCTTCAATAACTTTTAATTGTGACATTTCAGCATGAATTTGCTGTTCAGTTTCAGTTTCTTCTTTTGTTATTAACTCAATTTTTTTATAGTGTTCCTCTTGAGCTAAAGCCAACTGGTCTTTCCATATTTTAATTTTTTGATCGCTTTCTATTTTCTTATATAACTCTTCGTGTTCCATAATACGTTTATTTTGGTCTAATATTTGTTTCGCCTCATCCTCTGATTTCTTCATTGTTTTTATTTTATCTTCATACGTCTTTTCTAACTCAATAAATTTTCGTTCTATCTCCTTTTTAGTTTTGATTTCTTTTGCTTCTAAATTTAGAGTTTTTATTATAAAAATCTTTTCCTTCTCGTCCGCGTCTCGTTGCATTTTCTCAATATTCAGCTTAGTCTGGTTTTCAGCTTCAGCTAGTAGTTTGGAAAATTGTTTAATTTTCTTTTCCATCTCACATTGTGCTTCAACTTCACGTTGTTTGTTGGCTTCAATTTCTTTATTAAATTTGTTGTTCTCTGCTTCTGTGACCAAATCAAAATACTGCATACGTTTGTTATGTTCCTCTTTATTTTGATTTGAAATAATTTCCATGTTTTTAACTTTTTCTACCATTTCTATCTCTTTTTTGTTTACGACTTCATTTAACTTTCTTATCATGTTTTGGACTTCAGCTTCCTTTTCGCCCTCACGTGCCGCGAGACTTTGCAATGTCTTCTCGACTCGGGTTTGTTTATTCTTCAAGTCAAGGTTTAACTTCTCAATGTTATTATCCACAATCTTCCTCTCTTGCGCTACTACTTCGTCAAAACTCGTTATTTTTTTTTCAATCTCTTTAGTTTTTTTATATTCAGTTATTTGTATTTCCTTGAGCTTTTCTTCTAGTCTGGACCTAGCATTAGCTAGTTTTTGTTCTAATTGCACAATAGTTTTATTTTTTCTTGATTCGATCATTTTCATATTGTGAATTACCTTCCTGATTTGGTTTTTCTTGTTTTCTTCTTCGTTGCGTAGGCATTCCATGTTGATATCAAACTTTATTTTCTCTAGTTTTAAATTTTTATACGTATCGTTCACATTACTCTTTTCTTTCTTCTTTTTACTTTCCTTTTTCTTAAATTTGTCAATTTCGTTTTTGATTATATCACTGCGTTCTTTTAAATCTCTTATTCTCTTATTTACTTCCTCAGCCCTTTTCTGCCTGTCATTTTTTATCTCATTTTGTTTATTTTCTTTATCTTTTTCCTTTGCGCCAGTAATTTTTTTGTCCAGATCTAAAATATCGTTGTCTACATCGATATTGTTTTTCTTTGCGCAGTCTTTATATGTTTTTAGCTTTTTTTCCAGTTGCTCACGAGTCTTTTCTATTTCCTGCTTTTTCTTACTAATTTGTTTCGAGAGTTTGAAGTCACGAAAGTCTGTTCGACATTTCTTATACTCGCATTGAGCTTGATGAAGCTTGTTCCTCTTCGTCAGCAGCTCTTCGTCGTGAGACCTTCTTGTATATTTTCTTTTCTTTGGTGTTTTTGAATCCTGAGAAGAAACAGAAAATATGTTAGGTAATTTACACTAATCAATGAATATGTCAAGTGGCAGTCGAGCTAGGGGTATGTGGTTCAATTCAGGAGTCGAGTAATATTGTACATAAATATGATTAGAGTATTGATTGTAACCACTCCCCCTTTGAAGGATATATCCTGTTATATTCGTTTAGTTTGAGGGCATTCATATTTAACCTTTGCGATTTCTGTTAAGGTACTGAAGATTACTGGCCGGTCCATACATTTCCGGCTTGGTGGCGGGTGCTACGGCACTATGAGCCTGAAGCGCATCCAGGTGGACGAAGACCTAGCTGATGAGGAAGTGGTCGCGAAGTCATACCCTATAGGTAAGTACCATGTTTACTAACATAAGTATATCATAATGTATTTTCGGAATGTCTTTTGTATGTGTCAGTAATTATACGTCAAACTAAAAGTGAAAGGATGAGACATGAACATAAAAATAAATATATATTTGCCAAAAGTGCCTACAGACAGGTTATTGGAAGTGGCCATAACCACAGTTATAGTTACCTTATGCTCACTCTCAGATATCTTTTCCTTAGAGGTGCAGGGTCGTTGGTTTTCCGCGTTGGCATTGGCACCACTCCCATGGGCCTGCGAGGCCAATACATCACCCATTTGTGTCGCCTAAAGGGTAGACAGAATAGAATTTAGATATAAAAATGTATATGTGTATCATCATCATTCATTCAAAATTGTACGTTTGATTTGATTAAATTGTTTTTACGATAAACTGGCATTGTGTATCACCGGGTGAATAAGGTCAGAAGGACGGCAAGGCACTTTTAACTCCTTTAATGTTAGGGTCCGATAGATGGCGCTTAATTCCAATTACCAGGAGCCTTAGTCTGATATAACAATAGATGGATAATTGCACAGTATTGATTTCATAACTACAGAATTTGGCATTGGCAAGTTTTGTTTGTTTGATTATGACAAATCAGTAATTATTTATTTATTTAAGTTTAATGTACACAAAAACAAGGAATAGTACATAAGGTGGACTTTAATGCCATATAGCATTCTATCACAGTCAACCTTAGGGTTACATTGAAAATCAACGAATAAGGGCTTGTGTAATTAAATAGGAATAGACTTTATAAATGCAACTATTGTCAATGCTATAGACTAAAACCCAAGGGGATCTGTAAGGTCATGAAATGTGTTTGGTCTCAGGCAGCACACACAAGGTCCGGGTGATGTGTTACAACCTGTCCGACTATGTGTACTCGGTGACCGACCAGCCTGACGTCATCGCGGAGAAGTACTTCAAGCTGGAACAGCTCCACGCCGGCGACCTGGTGGACGCCACCGTCAAGACTGTCGCCGATAATCATGTGCTACTCAGTGTAGGCAGGGTCACAGGTACGTTTACAATTTATAATGTAATTTTTTTTAAACGTGGTCCCACTAGAATTGTCTCTTGGGTCGTGAGTACTAACTTTAACCTGAGCTTTACTCTTTTATCTTTCATTACCCGTTGAAATCCATCCCCTATATTTGGTCATACAAAAGTAGTCTCTAAACATTGGAAATAAGGTCTATAATGTAATTTAATATTAGGGGAGAGCGGTCACCGGTGACCGCTTGGGGATCTATGGGTTAAGTATGACTGATCTTAATGTAATTATGATAATTTGACTAACTTATGTATGACTGACGATTTTATTATTATTTAATTGTATTTATTTTGAAAAGTAAATGTATGGTATACATGTTAATTTTATGGATCTATAAGATGTACGAAATAAATGATTTTTTTTTACGAAATGTGTCATTAACCTTTGTAACATTTGTTTCAGGATACGTATCACAATCACACTTATCGGACTCGGGAATTCTCACAGACACTAAAAAGCCCTCGATTTCAAAACTACCAAAGAAAAAGTATAAGGTAAATAATATAAACAAAGTAAAAGTATGGAACCGTATATTTAATGTTTTCTTTATTAATTAACATAGCATCACGCCTTCTATCCATGCTAATTACAAAAGACTGCCTCTTGGCCGAGTGGTCGCAAGAGCGTCTACTGGACAAGGGGTCTTGGATTCGATTCCCAGGTCGGGCAAAGTATTACTGGGATTTTTTAAAATCTCAGTAGTAGCACGGAGTCTGGAAATGTGCCCGGTATATGACAATAGGCTCACTTCCTATTACATGGGACTCATAATATAAAATAGTGAAAAGTGGGTGTTACATTGTACAGTGGCATTAAGTGTCGGAATGTGCACCTTTGTCTAGCCCTTCGGGGATAAAAGGCGTGTTGTTATGTTATGTTATGTTATCTTTAACCGATTGAGCTAAAATTTTGTATACACGTTTAGTTTGCATGACGATAAATCGTAAGCTAAGTACACGCTCGCTATTAAAAAGTTTTTTTTATTTCTTTCTCTCTCTCGCAGGTGGGTCAGGCAGTGAAAGCTCGCGTGCTGGTGGTAGACCCTTCAAAACAGACTCTGTTCCTAACCCTGAAGCCTTCCCTTCTGTCTCCGGACCTTGAAATACTGGACAGCTACGATACTGCCGCCACGGGGAAAGCTTACACTGGTGTCATTAAGGTAATTAACGAATTAAGTTAATACAAGTCGTTACGAGGTTAGACTAAAGTACTTATTTTGACTTACAAGAATTATTGTCGAAGTTCTAAATATTAAGTACTAGCTACTTCCGCGCGGTTTCACACGCTCTGCTCAGCTCCTATTGGTCGTAGAGTGATGTTTTATAGCCTATAGCCATCCTCGATAAATGCGTTATTCAACACAAAAATAATTATTCAAATCAGACTTGTAGTTACGGAGATTAGCGCGTTCAAACAAACAAACAAAACAAACTTCCGCTTTATATAATAGTACCTATAAGATACTCCTCCTACTATTGCTTATTTTTGTAAAGGACTAGGCAGAATTATACAAAATAGAAAAAAACAAGAAAATTCTCAGACCTAAATTGTACATTTTGCTTCAAAATCTTCTATATGGTGGTCTTAAAACAAATATAATCTAATTGATTAATTTTTATGTTAATTATACGTCCTATACCTATTGCCACAGGGCCGATGCCGATTCGTAGTCGCGGAAAACCTAACGGGTAACCGGGGCTCCGACTCGACGTGCAGGAGAAGGAACGGGGTGGTTTTTAGTCAGTAAGAGTCTGACACTCCCTCCCGCCTCCCCTAGGCGGGAGAAGTCATTCGATGATTTCCCCCCTTAAAAAATACCTATTGCCACGAAGCGCATATATTGATATAACGCTCACCTTCTCACCCCTATTACATGGGACTCATAACATAAATAGTGAAAACTGGGTGTTACATTGTACAGTGGCATTAAGTGCCGAAATGTGCACCTCTGCCTAATCCTTCGGGGATAAAAAGGCGTGAGGTTATGAAATAACGTAAATAAGACCTCCAATGAGACAGTCTAACCAAGTGTTTTATTTCCAGACTATTCGAGACTACATATTGGTTCAATTCTTTAACAACGTGGTCGGCTACGTCCCGTCGCAGTTCATATCTAAAGAGCCGCTTGATAACGTCACACAAGCATTCCACATCGGTCAAATTGTAAGTATAATAAATCGTAATCCTACCATAACATAATATAACATCAATGGCCGCAAGTTCAAATGCTGGACAAGGTGTCTCGGGTTCGATTCCCGGGTCGGGCAAAGTATTACTGGGTTTTTTTAATAAAAATTCTCAGTAGTAGCACGGAGTCTCGAATTGTGCTCGGTATATGGCAATAGGCTCACCCCCTATTACATGGGACTCATAAATAGTGAAAAGTGGGTGTTACGTTGTACAGTGGCATTAAGTGCCGTAATGTGCACCTTTGCTTACCCCTTTGGGGATAAAAGGCGTGATGTTATGTTATGTAGTAATATTTATTTATTTTTTCGTAACAACGAAGTGAGCTGTAAGCTTGCTAAAACAAAAGTATTATAGTGCAAAATGTCTTTCAGGTAAAATGTACAATACTGCGAGTAAATCCTGAAGAAAACAAGATGTCTGCCAGCTTCATTACGCCACCGTTCACACAAGTAAGTTTACTTTGATTTTTACTTCTGTACCATTCACATTTAATATTTTAATGATAACTGTTTTATATTATCAACTGTTCCTACCTATAATAATGTTATACTTTATCCTTATTATCACAGATCAAAGACGGAAGAAATAATAAGCGCAAACAACAACAACGAAGTGACGATGTCCCTAATAAAAAGAATAAAAGCAATGATGAGCCAATAAAAAGGAAAAAATCAAAAGAAGATATTACAGAAGAATCGAACACTGACGACAATAAAGAACTTGACAAGAAGAAAAAGAAGAAAGTTAAACTAGAACAAAAAGACGAATCAGATGTAGACGCAGAAGAACAAGTGAATAAGAAAATCAAAAAGAGAAAAACAAAGGAAGAAACAACAGAAGACTCGGAGACTGAAGACAATAAACAAATTGACAAGAAGAAAAAGAAGAAGAAAAAAATAGAAGTCGAACAGAATGAAGAGTCAGACGTAGAAGAAAAAGTTAGTAAAAAGAAAGACAAAAAGAAAAAATCAAAGAAAACAGAGGAATCAAGCGATGAAACTGAACATAAAGTAAAAGATAAGAAGAAAAAAGTAGAAGTATCAGAAGAAAGTGACGCCATAGAAACAGATTTAAACGAAGAAGTCGAGATTCTAACGCCACAAGACCAGGCTCTGATAGACTTGAGTACTTGTACCACAGGGAAACAATACAAGCGACGCGTCGTAGCCCTACTGAAGGCAGTCAACAACAGGAGCAAACGTGTTGACAAGATAGAGAGGAAGATTGCGAGGATAGAGGAAAGAGGACTCACTCCAGACACTAAGATGTACCATACTGCTATGCAGAACGACAGGAACATCGTGAAGGAGAGACTGGCTCTTCTGCTCGAAGCTTTGGGTAAAGCACAGACCAAGCTCAAGGAGCTCGGAGTAGAGTTCAACAAAGAATATAAGAAAGAGAAGCGGGCGGCAGAAGAAGATAAAGAGGAGAGGAAAGTTCTAGAAGTTAAAGTGGTGGAGAACTTAGAGCCAGCACTCGAAGCTCCTAGCGCTCAGGACTTTTGGACTGCTGCAATCGAGGAGCCGAAGCCAGTGGAAGATGAGGAGGACAGCAGCAGTGAAGACGAGGTCAGTCTACAGTTTTATTTTTAGTGCAATAGAGTTTAAAACTGTGTAACATAAAAGTAAGATATTGCTGTAGAAATCTTTGTGCCGGACATGTTACCGTCCTATTTCTTATTATATTTATTAGATAAATAATCGTAAACTATTTTGCTATGTGCAATACTGATCCTCTACCTCTCGCGTGATGGCAGAATTTCATGAACAGTTGGCAATATGGTTAGTTTATTAAAATATAACGTCACGCCTTTATCCCCGAAGGGGTAGGCAGAGCTGCACATTATCTACGGCACTTAATGCCACTGTACAATGTAACACCCAGTTTTCAGAGTCCCATGTAATAGGGGGTGGATCATATTACCTTATGCCGGGCACAATTCCAGACTCTGTGTTGAGAACTTTTATTACTACTGAGATTTTTTTAAAACCCAGTAATACTTTGCCCAACCCGGGAATCCAACCCGAGACCCCTTCTTTGCCTGGCAGTCGTACTTGCGACCACTCGGCCAACGAGGCAGTCAGTATTAAAATAATATTCTTCTATTATACAGGATAAAGAGCAGCCTAAGAAGAAACGGAAGAAGTTAACAGTAGCGGAGAAGTTAGCAAAGTTGCGGGAAGAAGAAGAGAAAGTGAGAGAGATGGAGAAGAGAGCGACGGAGAGTGAGAGTCAGCCGCGGTCTAGTGAGCAGTTCGAGCGCGCTCTACTCGCGCACCCTAACTCCAGTCAGCTATGGATCGCGTACATGGCATTCCACCTTCAGGTATGTCCTACTTCTATGTACACGTATATATGCTATAGCTAACGAAAATTCTACATGTGAATGTCCGTCAGTCATCTACCAGAGATGCGTCAAAAATATTATATTTTCTGTAATCTCCTGATGGTAAGCTGCCGGCGCCACCTATGGACTTTCGTAACACTAGAGGACATGAAAGTGGAATTAGTTAGGAATTAAGCGATTGGATATAAGAAGGGAAAATAATTCGGCCTCTGGTACTCTCATTAACACAATGAAACACAATGCTTTGATTGTTTCACGCCATTTTCCTGAAAGGCGGTATCATTCCAGTCGAACTAGCTCTCAGGCCGAAGTATGGCTCTCCCACAATAATAGATTCGTCATGAACTTTCGATAACTATTAACTACTAGCTTTTACCCGCGGCTTCGCTCGCGTCACAAAAGGATAAAAAGCCAATGTGACATAACAATACACACAGCGCCATCTATACCAATACTTTTGTTTTCCCTCGCGAATATCAAAATTTTTAACGGGATAAAAAGTGCCCTATTTAATCCGGACTTCTAACTATACATCTGCAAAAATTCAAAGCAATCGGTTTAGTAGTTACGGCGTTGAAGTGGAACAAACAAACAAACTCACTTTCCGATTTATAATATAAGTAAGGATGTGTCACCAACACCGCTGAATAATGTGTCACTTACCGATTTGTTTACTTCTAGGCTACTGATGTTGAGAAAGCGCGCAATGTCGCTAGGAAGGCGCTGGCCACGATATCTTTCCGTGAAGTACTGGACAAGTTCAACGTGTATGTCGCCATGCTCAGCATCGAGTGCAGGTTCGGTACTAAGGTGAGTCATCTGTTAACAAACATATTTATTACTATTATTATAAGGTTTTATCCGCGACTTTGTCCGCTTATTCCTGTTTTATTCCATGGGAGCATTCAATCGAGATAAATGTATCCTATCATCTAAGTCAGCCCATCTTTTGGGGATTAGGGGGGTTGGGTCTCCGGTAACCTCACTCAGACGACGAAACACAACGCAAACGTTGATTCACGTCGGTTTTCTGCTCGGCTGTGGTATCACTCCGGTCGAGCCGGCCCATTCGTGGCGAAGCATGGCTCTCCCACACTAAATGATAGTTTCAGCATGATTGACGAATAAACATCCAATCAAAGAAACTTCAGCTTTTCATATTAGTATATAGATTAGCTTTTCCCGCGCAAGTTCGCCAACTGCTCATATAGATCATAGCATGTTTTACAGCCTATATATAGTACCCGGAAATAATGGACCATCCAACATAATAATAATTATTTAATTGAAACATTCAATCTTGTGTAAAGATGCCAGTTATCAATGTGTGTGACAGAGCGCCTTCACACCTGCGTTTACTTGTCCAGAGCAGACGATCGATAAACGTGCACGCCGCGCAGGCGCTTGAAGGCGCTCTAAATGCGTAGGTGTGTGTCTTGGAAAAACAACCAATTAGTGTAAGAACATATGAGAGTTATATAATACCTACCCTGTGCCCTAATTGGCTTGTTTTGTTACGTTTTTAATTAAAACCAATAGCTTTGACCTCATCTATATAATGTCGTTGTAAGTTAAAGCTTCCTTACCTATTGACCACGCCCATTTTTTAAAAATAACCTAATATGGTTCTACATTAATTGTCAGTAAACTTTGTTATCCTCATTGTGGTTCTAGTTTTAAAATTTAAACCTGATACCAATCATCGGTTCTAATGCTTTGTTCGTACTATGCTAGTATTTTAGTCGAGTACCACCTGTTTAGTAAGTAGTTCTATCTCTTTCTCTCACGCGCGTCTTCCCCAAAATCGAAGTGAGACAGCTACTATATACTAGCTGCTCGACTAAAATACTAGCGTATCTAGTGTGAAGTGGGCGTAACACAGACAATGAACAAAATCAGAAAGAATTTTTAAAAATTTTACTCTAAATTTCAATGGTTCCCAAAGTTATCTGGACTACGACCTATCTTAACGCTTTGAGTACCGTCATTGAAGACACAATTATAGAACAATAGGTTGCGGTCACCGGTGTCCTCGCGGTATTTGACAGTTTAATCATGTTACCAAACTCATGACTCACTTTTAGGAAATTAAACCTATTTAGGAAATTATCAATCTAAAAAGTAAAGTAAAGAACGGTTTGTTATTGTGTCATTCTATAGACAAGGCCAACTAAAAATTCACTTGCAGCCTACCAATGGGTCGGGTATAGGCCATAACCCTGATTTAATTTATCAGTTAATAATAATAATAACTTTATTCAACACAAAGTATACAGATCTATTAATGGATAGATGGTTATACATATTTAGATTGTTTTATGATCTGAGATTACAATTATGAATCCTGGCTCTCAAACTAGGTTTCAACTGTATTTTGTGAGTTAATCCAATTTTATAATACGTATTTTATAATAGCGCTACCAACGTTACAGCCAGGATGAATTTATTGATTGCCCCATGTCCAACAAATGTAGACCTACAATATAGATACAAAGCACAGCGAATTAAAAAGAGACAGCTTCGTGTATCATCGGCTTTTTATATCCTTCTCTCTCGCACATCCTATATGTACCTATATAAATAAGTTCCACCCTCTATGCAACACCAGTATAAACTGAACCGTTGGATGTACGGAGAGGTCTTACGAAGCGGGATCACGATAAACTGGTTTGCGTGTACAATGATAGACATGTATCATACACTAAGAGGGTCTGTCTGTCTTTCACAAGGCCAGATTCAGTTGTTATTAGTCTAATTGACAAATAATTAGATATATTTTCTATACAGAATGTGTCAAAATCAAGCTGTCTCAGTTATGCTACAAAAATTTAACTTAATGTACTGAAGTGGTTAAGGAGTGAGCGAGTGCACTGAAAACTGAAACATGGATGCTTCCCTATCTATCCTCTCTTTCTATCCCATGGGTTCCATTCTATGCATCTGCAGAGTTCTATATATGTGAATATATTCTATAGCATCGCCAGAAATCAATACTTGTGCTATTCCTGGAACCTACAGGACGAATTAAAACATAACAAAGGTACTAGTCTCGGCTGTGTTATTCGTCAGTCAGTCACTTGTAACGACAGTTTTAAACATTCTATATTGCAAAATATAAGAAACTATCTGTTGACATGAAAACCCTTAATATAATAATTAAATTATCAAAAATCTATATTTTAATATGCGAATATCTATAACGTAAGCGCGCGAAACTGCGCTCAATTCGATTATCTTTTTCTATGTAAAACCTAAAATTCTAATAAAAAGGTATTAGGGGCAGATTGTAATGCAATCCATCTAAATCCCTAGTTATTAATCTGAGTTCCAATAAGAGATTGCAAACAAATAATCGAACAATTTCGAGATTGCACGCAACAATAAAAATTTGTCGTAAATTGTTAACAAAACAATCAGATTATCTTCAATTTACTATCACAGACATTCAAAACTTTATAACACAAATTGTATATAAACTGTACCACTATACAAGACAAAGAAATAAAACGAAGCACATGAAACTACATGAAAACTAATGAATTACCTTTAGATCACATTAGGATGGTGTTGTCGAAATCCCTCCTCGATTTGTTGAAATATTGTGGATAAATTATTTAAATATCTAGTGATTAATGAGTTCGCGATGATGGGCGCCTGAATGGCGCGGTTGCTGAATATGAACTAACGCGAATCGATCAATACACCGGTCGGCTTCATTCGTCAGACGCCGGCCGGCGGCACTAGACATAACCTAGGTATACACAGAAACACATTCATAACTACACGCCCGATGCAATACTGCGCAATACTTTATTGCAGGTAAACATCACAGCGCCCCCTACGTACCAATACGCATTTCAATAGCGGCAGGAATGGGAACTGTTGTAAGTCTAACAATTTTCGGGAATTACGACCTTAATTTCTACACAGTAAGGTCTACTCTTGCTCTCATACAATGGTCTTACCATAATGTTCAACAAGTGCTCTCGCAAAGGAGTTAAGTTACAATACGTTTGATAAATTGGAGGTACACCGGGGGAATGCGATATACATAATGTATGAGAGATGTTCAAAAACAACTGCGAATCTTTATTATGCTATTTTTTCCTCGTCGTGACCTTGAGTGGACAGTCCAATAGTTATTAACAATAGTAATAGTTATGCACTAGAACCTAAAGTCTCTTTTCGTATTTCCAACAAAATAAACATAGGACATACAACATAGGAATATAGTATGATATTTGGTTATGTAATTAATGTATTTATTTAAATGGCGTCGCTTTGTTTAGGCAGATAGTAATCGGTTCGCCGGCTGGTAACCGCGCTGAGTGATAGCGCAGTCTAGGTTATAAAAAAGAGCACTAAAAACCTAAAAGATGTTTTAGATAACAAACAATAAACTTAAGAACTGAGATGTATCCTATATGCAGATTGTTATACGCATAATAATGTAATAAGGACATGTTATATCTTGTTCGTCTACAAACTCTTTTCACAGGAAAGGAATGATTATCGCACGGCATGTTGATGCTTCATTCTGATGTCAAGTACATATAGTTTTATTTAAAACCTCTTTCACTTCGAATTACACTATTAATTCATGTTTAAATATAACTAACCTTGACTCCGGACTGAACTCAAAATTCACAAAAACAATGTTTTATTTCACGTAAACACAGTATTTAAACGTCTTGGTCGCGCCATGTCAAAATCCAGACTGTGTTACTGAGCCTCTGTCGCATGTCAACAGAGTATAGCAATATAATTATGCCTGACTAACATGACTCACAGTGGGCATTGGCAAAATGTAGTGGCGCCACTAATTGGCTCGGTGAACGGCCCGCTTTAGGTCCATCCTGAATGTGATAAGGTCCCACTTCCAGTAGTTAGCCATTTATGACCTTTGATAACGGCTAACCCCGTTTCGCAGAACCAATAATAATTTGTGTAGGTACGTCTTTTCTACGTACTCGTTTTATGTTAGTTTTATCGACCCTGTCAGTTAGTCGTTGATTTAATTACCTAAGAGTAAATGTTGTGCATACGTTCATGAGATAATGATAGATAATGCCTGCCTCGTTGGCTGAGTGGTCGCAAGCGCGACTGCCGGGCAAGGGGTCTCGGGCTTGACCCAGGTGTTTTCTGGTCAGGCAAAGTATTACTGGGTTTTGTTCAAAATTCTAAGTATTAGCACGGACTCTGGAATTGTGCCCGGTATATGGCAATAGGCTCACCCCCTATTACATGGGACTCATAACATAAATAGTGAAAAGTGGGTGTTATATTGTACAGTGGCATTAAGTGCCGTAATGTGCACCTCTGCCTACCCCTTCGGGGATAAAAGGCGTGATGTGTTGTATGTATATGATGTTATGTGATAGATAATAATATCTGTGATTCCTTGTAATCCGAGCAGTACAAGGTTATCGTATCACGTTTGAATATTTTGTGCGATTATTGTCTCCGTTACGATTCTGTGAATTATAATACTTGATAGAGTAATGGTAAATGGCAAAGCATTATCGTGCTTTTTTGGACTTACGAAAATTTCTAAGTATTTAGTTTGGAATGGGGGCAACCTGTGGAGTAGGGAAATAATATGCATACACTCATATAACATAACATTACGCCTTTTATTCCCGAATGGGTAGACAAAAGTGCACATTATTCCACTGTACAATATAACACCCACTTTTCACTAATTACATTATGAGTCCCATGTAATAGGGGGTGAGCCTATTGCCATATACCGGGCACAATTCCAAACTCCGTGCTACTACTGAGATTTTTTTCACAACTCCAGTAATACTTTGCCCGACCCGGGAATCGAACCCGAGACCTATTTATGGGTTGATTACTATCATGCTAATATATCATGTTAACGGTATATAAAGAACGGAGCTATGCTCTTGAAATCAAACAATAGAATCAGTACATAAGTGCCACTACAATAAGCTCCTGTTTGCAAACGATGGGTACATATTAAATTCTTATCAAAGTCCCACTTTTAAACATTACGTCATGACATACGATATTAAACAATTAACATATTGCATGCTTTTGTATGCTACGCCACCACGGATGGGGCCCAACAGGGCTGATGCCGATTCGGAGTCGCGGAGAACCTAACGGGTTACCGGTGCTCCGGCTCGACGTGCAGGAGAAGGAACGGAGTGGTTTTTAGTCAGTAAGAGTGACACTCCCTCCCGCCTCACCCAGGCGGGAGTAGTCATTCGATGATTTTCCCCCCTTAGAAAAAAAATAATGCCTATAATTAGAGGCGGATACGTAAGCACCTCATAAGCGCCCTAAGTTTTTTCTCGCCGCCGCCAATCTATGGGCAGATTGGCCGCAAGTTTCGCGGCGCCCCTCTATAACCTAGCGCCCTGGGCACTTGTCTATTAGCGGCTCTGCCTTAAAAACAGGCAGTGATAATAAACTATCACTACTTACTTAGAGGTAATAAGATACATGTACGCATGCTAAGGATCTTTAAAACTACGCTACGGATTCTGATGTGATTTTTAATACTTAATAGTGATTTAATAGGTATATTCACATGTATAATATCATTAATTTGAAGCGTGACACAAAAACACAAACAAAAGTGTGTATAACTTTCGTTGAGACATATATCGTTAGTAAGTTGTCCCCCATTTAAGTATTGCGTCATCTTTATATTGATCTACAGAATGACCTTGTGTTCTCAGTATTTGATCCCGAATTATGTAGTAACCAGTATAGGTATAGTATACTGAGTGTTTTGTTTCATTTATGTTGTTTTAATACTTAGGATGTAGGTATTATCAGTGTTCCCGTATTGCGCAGTTTGTTATTTGTACCTATTACTCACACACACACGCTTTCTGAAAGGATGGATCACTGTAGAATGAAGTCAATCTGTTGTCAAGGACTATTTTTGTTGATAAAAACATGTTTATACCTAATTTCATTCAGGAATGGCAGAGTGACAACTGATATTTGAACTTATGGAATAAGCCGGTAAACGAGCAGACGGATTACCTGATGTTAAGTAATCTATGCGCCGCCCATGCACACCCGAAACATCAAAGGTGATACGCTATCGGTCTTTTGGGGATAAGGACTTTGATGATTGTTGAGGATTCGGGGATTTGGGGGGTAATTGGGCGTCTGGTAACCTCTTTCACACGACGAAACACAACGTAAGCGTTGGTTCACGTCGGTTGTCTATCTTCTGTGAGGCCGTGGTATCACTGCGATAGTAGATAATAGTGATATGGTTGTGGTGATGACATAATGATGTTATATCAGGAACTCTGCCCCTTTTATAAATTTCAATATTTTAATATTCATTGTGGTATACAAATAGATAAGTATGGTGACAATGACGACTGGGAAACGGATGACGCATTCGGAATGTAAATTAAAAACAGGATAAGTTTGGGCGCAGGAACTGTGTAAAATGGACATTATTTCGCCAATTTGTTATTTATCCTATTGTTAGATAAGATCATAATGCTCAAAAAGATGTATTACACCCGATTACGTGACTTCCCGAGACCTTGCACTCGGTTGACGTTATTGCACTCACTCAACCATCGGGGCAATGAACTCTCCGAAATGTAAAGACCTACGTGATACGTTTTAAGATTAGATAATGTTTTAATAAAATCGTATCCGAAATTCAAGTTTCGCGCTAATCGAGCGGGTGCCATTTTATTTGTCTATGGTCAGGAAAAACCCGCATTATAAATCTGTGACACAGTACAGAGAACGAACAGTAGCCCAACTTAGGAGGTTGTTCAATTCAAATAATCAAAACGAAACTCGGAAACATATTCGATTTGATTAATTATAAATATGCGAATCATATAGGTACGTGTATGCTCTTTGCTCAGTCAGCGTGTTTTAACTTCTGTTTTGTTTAAATGACATTTAAATGGAGTCAAAACTACTGTTCTTTCTTGTATTGTGATTGTGACTTATGTTGCTTGCGTTCCGTGACCTCTAAGCTACATTTTGTTTATCATCTTGTTGCCATGTGTAATTAGATGCGTAATATTATCTAATTTTGTTAAATTCGTTTTTAAAACATAACATCGCGCCTTTTATCCCCAAAGGGTTAGGCCGAGGTGCACATTACGGCACTTAATGCCACTGTATAATGTAACACCCACTTTTCACTATTTTTGTTATGAGTCCCATGTAATAGGGGGTGAGCCTATTGCCATATACCGGGCACATTTTCAAGCTCCGTGCTACTACAGAGATTTTTTTTTAAAAGCCGTCATAATTTGCCCTCCCTCCCTTTGATCCCTTGCCCGGCAGTTGCACTTGTGGGCAAGTACAACTGTTAAATGCGTACATTTAGAAGTTTTATTATAATTTAGAATGTATTTAATGATTATCTTTATATCTAATGGTTATTTTACGAAATGCGTTACAGTTATTGTCCACTTCATAAGCTTTACGTCATCTCGATCGCATGCAGAATCGTCTCTGAGCAAATTATGTACTAAATTTTTTCTCAATACTACACATGAGTAATTAATCAGTTGGTAAATACCTAATAAATAATTAAGAATATAGGCATAAAGCCATTATAATCGCACCAGCAGCAGCGGGACAGTCGCTGCGTCGCGGGTCGCGAAATGCTGCTCATGAATATGAGCCTCTAGCATGGCTTTAAAACTAATCGAGTTCCTCGTGAATAAGACGAAATTATAATAATAATATAGAAGACACGATTAGATATACTTATTATGTAAAACTAAAGCATATTATGCTTGTCAAATATTATAATTGCCAATTCTGGCAGTTCCGGGAAAACCGGGATCATACTTTGAACGCATGATATTAAAAGAAATGTTCGTGTAATAAACATTTGTCTAAATGCTTCAACATTGAATCTTATCTTACTAATACTAGCTAATTCCGCGCGGTTTCACACGCTCTGCTCAGCTCCTATTGGTCGTAGCGTGATGTTTTATAACCTATAGCCATCCTCAATAAATGCGCTATCCAACACAAAAATAATTATTCAAATCAGACTTGTAGTTACGGAGATCAGCGCGTTCAAACAAACAAAAAAACAAACTCTTCCGCTTTATATAATAGTATCCTTACTAATATTATAAATCGGAAAGTGAGTTTGTTTGTTTGTTCCACTTTCACGCCGTAACTACTAAACCGATTGCTTTGAATTTTTGCAGACGTAAAGTTAGAAGTCCGGATTAAATAATAGGGTACTTTTTATCCCGGAAAAATTTGATATTCTTGAGGGAAAATTAAATTATTGGTATAGATGGCACTGTGTGTATTGGTATATGTCACATAGGCTACTTTTTATTCTTTTGTGACGCGAGCGAAGCCGCGGGTAAAAGCTAGTAAGAGCATAAGATGATAAGTGTGAATGTTTGTTACTCAATAACGTGTAAACGGCTGAATGGATTGAGATGAAATTGAGATTAGGGATAGATTATGATCTGGAATAAAACATAGAACAGACAATACTTTTTATCCCACGGGGATGAGGCCGTGGAATCACTCCGGTCGCCGGCCCATTCGTGCCGAAGCATGGCTCTCTCACATTTAACACCTTGAACACATGGGGGACAAGGTATGGGCCACGATAGCGGAGGATTTACCTTCAACAGTTTTCTGTCGGCACTCAAACTGTTAAATTTTGAATGTAGAGTTTGAATTTCTGAGTCATCATCAACAGCCTATAAATGCCCACTGCTGAGCAAAGCCTCTTCTCACACGGAGAAGGTTTGAGCATTAATCACCACGCTTGCTCAATGCGGGTTGGTGATTTCAAACTTATAATTAGAAATTATAAGTTCAGGTTTCCCCACGATGTTTTTCCTTCACCGTTTGTCAGTGGTGTCTAAATAATCTTAGAAAGTACATATAACTCGGAAAAAGTCACATTGGTACTTGCCGTTGGTAGGTTGTCGAACCCGCACCCTCATGCATGAGAAGCCAGCGTCTTAAACCTCCGGGCCACCACCACCACATGAATTTCTGAATGTGGATGTTAAATCAGGTTTAGTATCGATGCCGAAATTGAAACACCCTACCATAACAAGGTCAGGCATTGGATATCTTTACGTTGTTCATATTATACCTGTTTGTATGTGGACGTATTATATACAATATATACGTATGTATATGTGCGCATAACATCGAGACGAAAAATGAGGTCAATATTATCATAAATTGAACAAGAGCACTTGTTTATTATCAAAAAGTTTTATTTGAGTACTGTTTTAATAATACATATTTCTATCATAAATGAGTTTAGTGAGAATACTTGTCAATCTGTAATAAATTCTACTGAGCTGATTTGAAAGAAACTTATCAAAAGATAGATTTTATACAGTCTAGAATAAAAACAGAGACTGTTTTTATCTCAGTAACGCGGCAAACACTGTACACAGTAATATGAAGTACCGTGAATTTATTGAATTCTTCTATAAATAGATTGTTCTCGTTACAATACTGGAGTTGTTTTCATTGGGATTTCCAGGTTTTTAATAGGGCATCGTAGCGTCAAGGTCTAACATATTTATAACTAGCTAGACTTTTAAGTGTGGGAGAGCCATGCTTCGACACGAATGGGCCGGCTCGACCGGAGTGATACTACGGCCTCACAGAAAACCGACGTGAAGCAACGCTTGCGTTGTGTTTCGTCGTGTGAGTGAGGTTACCGGAGGCCCAATTACCCTTCCCTTCCCCAATCTCTCCAATTCCTGAATCCCCATCGATCCTCAAACTCCTAATCCCCAAAAGGCCGGTAGCGCACTTGTAACGCCTATGGTGTTCCAGGTGTTCATGGGCGACGCCGATTGCTTAGCATCAGGTGATCCGTCTGCTCGTTTACCGGCTTATGCTATAAAAAAAGCTTTTGTCAGCGGTTTCACCCGCGTCCGAAACCAATGTGAAACAACGCTTGCGTTGTTTTTCATATCAACAATTTAAACACAAATATTGAAAGTAAAACAATCAAAGACTTATCGAAATTCATCATGCTAGAGCTTCATATGAGCCTCTAGCACGGCTGGCTACAAATTTGTGTTTACATTGATTGATACAGACTAGTTTACATCAATCAAAGATATGCACAACATTCAAGTACAATGTGAGTGCCAGTAAGTAGTACCGTGCCCTCTAAATAAGAATACAATGAGTTTAGCAAGCGATATAGTACGAAAGACTTTTATTTATTTATTTTAACACTTTATGTACAAATGTGTATGCAATGGAGTGCTTGATGCTGGATGGCATTTTCTACCAGCCAACTATAGGTTGACGCAGAGAAGTGTTACAATAGGTTATACTTATAAACGAAGTTTGCATCTATTAAAACAAATAGGGTGATAAATGAACGTATATACAATATGTAACGTAATTACCTCGTTGAGTACCGTCATTATAGACACAATTAAAGAACATAATATATACACTAAATTTTTAATTTAACATGTATATGCATCCTTACTGGTCTTGTCATAAGGTTTATTTTTATTTATTTTGTATTAAATGATAGAATTTGTATGAATACAAATAAAACTGCGATTTTAAAAGTCTTATTGCTTTGACTTACGGTCTATTTCGATTTGTTTTAACAATACAAGGTTAATATGACAATAATTTCCGTAGTTTTAATTATTTTTGGGATAAAAAATTACCTATACTAAAAATTATATAAATAGATTCAGTTAACGATTCTGAACAAACTATTTTCAGGATGTGCGTTATTTAAGTTACATGTTGTATAAAGGTATCCCAGTTCAAAACTTACATACCAATACTACAAACTAATATGAAACATAAATATAATATGTAAATAATTATAAATATATATAAATGTATAATGGGTTTATATATTTTATATAATTGTATATATAAAGTTTCTGAGGAGGGTGTTAACTGAGACTTGATTGTGTCAGTGTATTCTGAAGATATTCAGTGACTTTAAATTTAAAGGATTTTATCTATACTTTTTAATATTATGAAGCTGAAGAATTAGTTTTATAAGTTGCCATAAAACTTTACAGCAGTTGCTGATAAAGATATGTTATTCATTGTTTCAGGAGTCCCTACAAAAAGTATTAGAGGAAGCACTTCAGATGAATGAACCTCTGAAGATTCACTCGAAGCTGCTGGACATTTACGTGGAGACAGGCAAGCACCAGGACTTGGTGGCGCTAGTGGAGCTGATGATGAGGAAGTACAAGCGGGACCCCAGCATGTACATACAGTGCGGGGCTGCCTGCTTCCAGCTTGGCCTTGTGGAGAAGGCGCGTCAGGTTAGTAATTCAATCAGATTTCCTTATTTTTCCCCTTAAAGCATACGTGTAGCCTATCGTGTTATTATTTTGCTTACCTTTAATCATGTTGTACGGCTCACTCGCGTAACTGTTTGATATAAATCGACTAGTTTCGAGACACGCTGGGGGTTCATAGTCATGACTCATGAGTAGTATTTATTTTTTTATTTATTTATTTATCATTTATATTTATTTATCATTTATATCAGGCAACGAAGGCCCATATTAAAATACAATAATACTATAATATCTACTACAATTTTAACTTAAAATACTATAAATACATAATGTAAATAATAAATTGAAACACTAATTATCACGACTATTGTGCTGTGTCGGCGTCGTGTGCTGCGCGGTGTCAGGTATCCGGCCGCGGAATCGCCGGAAAACAACACCTTTCGGCCAAAACTCTGGTGTCATGAATTTCGTTAAATCTACGGAAGGCACTCTCACCACAAATGAATTGAAATTCACGCTGTGGTGGGATTCTAATTTCAAAACCCTTAGAGTGTAATTCGTTTTGATCTGAATATACTCTACAATCTCCTCGACCTTTGTAGAGTAATGCAGCCTTGACACGTACAGCAGCGTCACAGCAGTATTACTTACGATATTTGCTTTGTTACAACTTACATTTTTTATTTTGATATTTTGATGTTGTATTTATTATTATTAGGAATAAGTTCTTAAGGCAGAAAAAATCCTGAAAATCGTTCGGGAACGGGAGAAAACAGGATTGCGCGTATGAAGTCGTGAGTTATTAATAAACACAACTTCTTGAGTGACACTTGTTTGAACAAGTACGTACTTGTTTAGCTCTCGAGTTATGCGCGTAATACGATACAGGACCATATTACTTTGGCACACACTTGTGTGGGTATGTTTAATAGCCTACTTAGATATTTTGATAAGAACAAAGGCAGCTATTGTTTTGTATTTTTAACCGACTTGAAAAAGAAGGGGGTTTTCAGCTTTTTTAAGTGATGAAAGCATTTATTTCAAATAAACCATAATTTGGTACTTTTGAAACGTCAACAAATATGAAATAAATAATAGTCTGTCAGTCTGTCCGTCAGTGAAACTAGGCGCTCATTCCAATATGTCGATTCGAGTGGAGAAGAACGAGCAAGAAAATCCATTCGTTACTCTTTAAAAAAGATTAGTTTAGTTCGAAAAAGCTCGATTAGTTTCGAAGCACAGAGGGGTTCTTCCTCATGAGCAGCGTGCGTAGTCGCGGCGATGTCGCGCAGCCTACTATAAAAAATAATAATAATAAAAAATCTTTATTTACTAAAAACAAGCGAGTTACAATATTTGATTTTAGGTATAGGCATACAATTACAGCTTACAATTTATGAAATCGCTGCCTCCCAAACTAGGTGATCCTGTATTTTGGGGGTCAGTGTTCCCTCGTTGAGTATTACAAAATTATGAATGCTTATATTGCTAATAATTCTCTCAAATATTGTGTAAGTGACATAAAGATATAAAAAGAGAAAAAGAAAGTGAGTGTTACCAAAAGAGATAATTAAAGATGATGTATGTGGGTGTGTGTGTTAGTGTATGTGAAGGTGTGTGTGAGAGTGTGTATGTATGTATATGTTTGCTATCTATGTACTAACTTTACGCGTGAGTATTTAATTATTTAGACTAGTTTGTTTAACAATTGTTCTGTTTCATCATAGGTTAGTGTCTGAACTAGATAACATACCTATGAACTGACTTGCAATTATGAGCTTCAAGTGCTTGCAATATTTGCCACGAATAACAATCTAACTGACACTATTGTTACAGGTGATGCAAAAAGCTATTTCTCTGCTGGAGAAGAAAGAACGTAAGTCATTTATGTCACTTTATATATACCATTTCTTTCTCAAACTAGTACCATTTGGTCTCCAATATGTTGTTATTGAACTTAAAATTGGCTTTATTTGTGCTAACACTAAGACGAAAGTCATAATTTAACATTTAGTATATTGTTGTGTGTGTTCACCGTGTGCACTATTAGTATATTGTTGTGTGTGTTCAGCAGAGTACCTATAATACATTTATCTTCACCGCTACTCTCCCGTATGGTGTCGGTGTCGTAAAAGCCGACAAAGAGTCTAAATTAATAAAAGAAATGGAGTAGCAGCGTTTTTTGGTCTCCCACCTTCTGCCAAGCGTGAAAGATTATGACAAAATCCTCTTACGTAGAGGTCCGTTGTCCAGTAGTGTTACGTCACAGCCTCTTTATTTTTGTGTGTAGATGTGACTGTGCTGGTCCAGTTTGCTTTGATGGAGAATCGCAATGGTGGTCGGGAGCGAGCTGAAGCCCTCTTCGAGCAAGTGCTGGCGGTGTACCCCGCCCGCGTCGATGTCTGCAGCACATACGTCGATATGCTACTCAAAAACGATGACAAGGATCATATCAGGTCAGTAACCCTGTTACATAGCACCTTAGAACTACTTATTTAGATCGTTTTTTTTATGGCATAAGTCGGTAAACGAGCAGACGCATCACCTGATGGTAAGCAATCGGCGTCGCCCATGGACACCCGGAACATCAGAGGCGTTACAAGTGCGTTACCGGCCTTTTGGGGATTAAGAGTTTGAGGATCGTTGGGGATTCAGGAATTGGGGAGATTGGGGAAGGGGACATTGTACACAATATATAGAATAGAATCAGGTGTTGCTTTGCGGAAATCCATGTTTCAGTAATAAGGAAAAAGAAGCCTTCAGCAGAATAATAACTGTATATTTACGTATCTGTTAGTGAAGTAGTTCACAAATTATTTATAGCAATTCCTTTCCTCTGCTATGAACAAGTTGGCATTTGAAATGGATTTACTCGCAAAACGTATTATATTTAAACGTATATTTGGTACTATTTACTTACTGGTTTCTTTGTTATTTCATGTACTTAACTATAGTTGCTAGACTGTTTTACTAGACTTTTGTCTATCTAGTTGTGATTTCCGGTTGGTGCGGTGGCTGGCCAACCGGCTGCCGCGAATCGTGTCGCGGATTCGATAACCGCAAGGGGCAACTCTTTGTGTGATCCACAAATTGTCCGGGTCTGGGTGTCATGTGTATGTGAACTTGTATGTTTGTAAACGCACCCACGACACAGGAGAAAATTCTAGTGTGGGGCAACTTTTTTTTAACAAATAAACAATTTATCAAGTTCAAATAGCATCTTTGAATTTTTTTCAGTGAAAGATTACTATTATATTATTAATATTTAGTCCAACATCTTTGTATTTTGATAGTTTATGATATTAGTTGTATCTACCAATAACTTGATAGTAATAAGCTTTCCTGTGCGTACTGCTAAGTAGTGGAATTATTTGCCAGACTCTGTGTTTTCTGAAGGGTATAACCTGAATAGGTTGCTTATGGGACGACGTGCTCCATCGTAGGCCGCATCATTGCTTACCACCAGGCGAAATAATGGCGACACGTCGGCCCATCAAATAAACAAGGTGTTGTTTTAAGCCGCGTCATTTTCTAGGAGGTAACTCGTATTCTGAGTCCAGATCAATAAAAAAATTGTAGATAATTTTTTTTAATTTTTCTGAAATTACGGAAATCCGTAAGTGCGAAGTACACGCCGCCATCTTGTAACTAGCTTTATAACGCGGCTCAACACACACAAACTCAAACACGTAATTGATATTATTTCTAATTCCATAAAGATTCAATAACAAACATTGCTGTCGCTTATTCTGAAATACTGTCAAACTTAAACGATTTATTATAGCCGTGTTTTTAACTATTGGCCCGAAATATTAATATTTTCTCTTACATTGAACCTTTATGACTTCTCTGACAAGCCCCCGAGAAATGACACGGTTTTAAAACTACATCTTGTATAAAAAAATATCGGTTATTTATTTCATTCATCTTTGATTTGATTCCATTATAATATTTATGAATGTAACAGGCAAGTAATGGAGCGCATGACGTCACAAAAGTTGCCAGCGAGGAAAATGAAGATTTTGTACAAGAAATGGATCGAGGTAGAGGAGAGGATGGGGGACCTCGAGCAAGTCGAGGTTTTACGGCAGCGAGCTGCTCAGTATATGGAGAAAGCCAAGTTTTAAACATGTGATCAATACAATAAATTAAATATCTCAAATCATACCTGTACTTTGTTGTTTATTCTTATCTTACTTACTTCTTACATATAAAAGTAATAACACGCCTTTTATCCCCGTAAGAGTAGGCAGAGGTGCACATTACGGCACTTAATGCCACTGTACAATGTAACACCCAATTTTCACTATTTATGTTATGAGTCCCATGTAATAGGGGGTGAGCCTACTCAATTCTAGACTCCGTGCTACTATGGGGAATTAAAAATAACTCAGTTATACTTTAACTGCGTTTTTTCCCGACTCGGGACCCCTTGTCCAACAGTCGCGCTTGCAACCACTCGGCCAGAGAGGTAGTCAGCAGTTATACTACAAGAACGCGGGCAAAGCCGCTGGCAGAAGCAGAAGTATTTTTAAATGTTCTTATCAGGAATTAAATTATCCATCTGACCCTACTGACCCTACAACGCGTAGTACGAGCTGATCGATCGATCGCTTTTCACAAAAGCGGTTGAAAAATTTGTCCAACAAGCGATGTCGCGGGGCGCACGTATATCTTGTACCGCAACCTATGTGTACCAGGCTATCATATAATAGAAGCGGTTTACAAACCTAATGAATGAAACTGACCCATCCTGTGCAGCGAAATATAAAGTGTCAGTATTGTAATCGCAAAAGTATTAATTTTTGCTTTTTATCCAACGGCAACGCGAGTGAAATCGCGAGCTAGAAGCTAAAATATTTACTAAAAAAATAGTCGTGACACGCCCCGCAACATAAACACTGCCCCGCCCTGTGCTATAAATGTTCACATCAAATAATGGCCTATGAACTGAGTCTCAAGGGAAGGTTCTTCAAGGGATTTCTCCCCACATTAGGGAATTGTTACTTTCTGTTAGTGCGATTGTGCAATCAGAAAGTTTAAGGATTGTAAATAAAACATCGTTTAAGAAGAAAAATATGTTTATTTATTACAAAAATACGAGTATAAAAATTAAAAATGTAAAAATTATTTGAAAATTATATCAGTAAATAAATTATTAACAGTTCTCTTAATATATATATATAATATATATATATATATATAGATATATACGGATGTAGTCGACACAGGATTCATTCATTAGTACCTATATATAAGATCTGGAAGCTTACAATTCTCCAGACCGAATACAAAATATTAAATTTTAATTCCTTACGAAGAATTAGTATTCATTTTTCGTGAATAAACAAAGAAACTTATGATAACAAAGTCGTTTACCCTGTCTTGAAGACCAGTGTACGCTACTATATGGCACAGATTATAACGTTTCATAAAGAAATTTTGGAGAATCGTACTTATTAACAATGATAACAAATATTTGTACTTTATTTGTATTGAATCTAACAAATCACAAGTATGTTAAAGTTACTCTTAAACAGCTTTACCCTTCTTACCGTCTTTGACAGTTTAATAAAATCGTATTAAGTACAAATAATAATCATATTACTTATATATGTTATATATATATTTAAATTACAAAATTTGAAATTGTGCACGGTTCCACAAAACACATCCATCATGGAGAAGAACCGGCAAGAAACTCCATGGAAATTACAAGCAGACTTATATTTATATTCCTAAGTACCATAAAAAAATATTTACAAAAGTTCAAATGGAAATGACTAAATGCTAATTTATAAAACCATTTTATGGTTAAATTACGTCAAAGGTAACAATTAGTTAACCCCATCGGGTCTAAATCTGAGGTAGTACTTTACTATTATATAAAACTACAAAGCAGACTTCCTGCTCTCATCTATAGGTCAAAGGTCAGAGGACTTGAGATAGTAAACTAACGATGTGTTTGATACTGCTAAACTATGATAATAAGGTCTTTTTTTTAAGAGGGGAAATTATCGAATGACTGCTCTCGCCTGGGTGAGGCGGGAAGGAGTGTCAGACTCTTACTGACTAAAAACCTGCCCGTTCCTTCTCCTGCACGTCGAGCCGGAGCCCCGGTAACCTGTTAGGTTCTCCGCGACTGATAATAAGGTCTACAATATGATAATTATTATTATGACATCATACACGAATCTAACGAAAACTAAGACTTACAATATCAATTCAGAAAATAGAATTACCGTTGTTTTTATTTTGTACAGGTAATGACACTAAGCAACAAAGTTTCACTTTTTTTAAATCTCTGATAAAACAATACATTTTGTTTATAGAACTAAGCTTATTAAGTAAAATCTTCGAAGATATTGTAGGTATGTCTATCACGTCTACATTTTATAAATCTGTTAACAAAGTGTAATTTGATCATTTTATATAAAATTTATTATTTTTATACCATACTTTCAAAAAATCAATTCAAAGTGCTATGGAAAGATTAAACTTTAATATATATTCATACTTTAACGATCACTATAGATAACTGAGATATTGCAACAGTTTGTTTCAATTGATTTTTTCATGCGACCGATATAAAAGAACTGCCATAACTGAGTGACGAGATATCCTAAAGAATAGATTCAAAGTGATATGAAGAGAACAAGATTTGTAGGTACTATATATTTTACGTATTAAAAATGTTTAGATAAAAACCGTTTTTTGCACCGTCACGAAACTATCAATAAATGATATAAAACCAGGTCTTTGTCAGCCGTTTACATAAAATCTAGACGTGATGGACGTGTATTTCCAAAATATTTTTTGTTTTTGCGGTAAATAAAAATACATGTTGACTAGTGTTATTATCTATTACTCATTTGTAGGTACCATTCACCTCTTTCGCGAGCAAGTCTCATATACACTACACTTACTTTGGTGTGTTAATTATGATATTATAGACTTTGTCCTTATGTTTCACAATATGTACTTGGGGCTCATTCTCATCAATGTCGGTTTCTTCTTCATTAATTTTCTGCTTGTCTTGTCCGTTTGTACCATTTATCTGTTTGTCCAGGTTCAAAATAAACTCATCTAAATCGATTTTCTTTCTTTCTGCAAAGTCTTTATAGTCCTTTAGATCTTTTTTTAGTTCTTCAAATTTCTGTCGTATTCGCTCTTTGCGCCTGTTCGCTGTCCTAGAGACCTGGTATTGATTGAGATCTATCCTACATTTTTTATAGTTAGATTGAGCTTCAAAAACCGTATTCCTTCTCGCAAGTAGTTCTGGGTCTAGAGTTTTTCTTTTCTTTGGCGATTTTGAATCCTAAGAATAAACAGAAAATTTGTTAATAATCACGGCTTAATTAACACTCACGGGGGAAACTACAAGGGCCGCTAGTTGCGTTTGTTTTCCACAAACTTATGAGGTCAAACCCCTGCGATTGACTAGTAAATACTTAGTGCCTACCTACAATATGCTACATGAGGACTACTAGCTGCTGCTACTACTACTACTACTACTACTACTACTACCACCTAGATACTATTAAAACTTCAACGTAGCTATAGCTCATCATCCCAAACAAATTTGTTAACATCAAATTTACAAAATCTACCTACAGACAGGTTACTAGATAAGGCCGTAACCAGTTATAGTTACCTTCTGCTTAGACGTAGGTTTCTTTTCCTTAGAGGTACCAGGTTGTTGGTCTGGCGCGTTGGCATTGGCGCTAGTGCTCGCGTGGGCCTGCGAGTCCAGTGCTTCACCGCTTTGATTCAACTAAAGGGTAGAAACAGGGTTTGAGAAATAGAAATGTATTTAGTCATAAAAATAACGCTTGCGTTGTGTTTCGTCGTGTCAGTGAGGTTACCGGATGCCCAATCTCCCCAATCCCCAACAATCCTTAAATTCCTAACCCTCAATAGATTGGCAAGGCACTTGTAACGCCTCTGGTGTTCCAGGTGTCCATGGGCGACGCCGATGGCTTACCATCAGGTGATCCGTCGGCTCGTTTACCGACTTATTCCTTAATACTTTAACTGCCAAGTTTAAAATGGTGAAAGTCAAACCTCCACTAGCGTCAGGCACCGGTGACTGACGTGGCGCTCTAAGGGTTAAAAAAATGTAGGCTCAAATTTTGAATATCGTTGGGAATCTTATTGTAAAAGCGTATACATTGACATCTAAACGAACCACTTATTTTCTGAAGTCTAGAGGCACAACATATTTGTTTTTATTTCTTGTGTTGATATTATGTGTATCAGTAGGTATATCACTACACTTTTTAAATAAACGAAGGTTTAATATACGGCATACGTTTCTAATTAATAAAATCAAGTGTTTTTACATAACATAACATCACGCCTTTTATCCCCGAAGGGGTAGGCAGAGGTACACATTATGCCATTGTACAATGTAACACCCACTTTTCACTATTTATGTTATGAGTCCCATGTAATAGGGGGTGAGCCTATTGCCATATACCGGGCACAATTCCAGACTTCGTGCTATTACTGAGAATTTTTAAAAACCCAATAATAATTTGCCCGACCCAGGAATCGAACCCGAGACCCCTTGCCCAGCAGTCGCCCTTGCGACCACTCGGCCAAAGAGGCTGTCAAGTATTTTTCAGAAAATATTTATCAAGAAATGAAAAAGGAAATAGCTAGTGACTCCGTTAACTGTTTATTTCCTCCCGAGTGTACCAGTGTGTATGTGACCGCTTGGGGATATATGGGGTAATTTTATATGTATATTACATACATACCTTCACGCCTGTGTCTCTTGGTGGTAGGCAGAGACTATGGAACGCCAATTGGTACGATACGATTCTTACATACCTCTTTCGCTTCATCCCCAGTCATCAGTCTTTTCATGCATGCTCATTGCTTAAGTTATACTTAACTTTACCTGATTTAATAAATTTATAACATCTGGAGGCAGGCTTTTTCCACGATATCGGTCGCTGAGGTACCGGAGCAGTTCACTACTCACGGTCAGTTCAGGTTCATCTCTGTCGTCAGCCATCTGTGAATCATATCATCCATTTATAAACATAAGTGATATTTAACATACAAGATCTTAAAAGGTAAGCGGTACGCTATGTCTTGTCAAAGTCAAAGTCAAAAGTCAAAGCATTTATTTCAATTAAACCATAGTTTGGTACTTTTGAAACTTCAACAAATACAAAATAAATAATAGTCTCTCAGTCAGTCCGTCAGTGAAACTAGGTGAAGCTAGGTGCTCATTCCAAAAATGTAAATTCGAATGGAGAAGAACGAGCAAGAAACTTCAATTGACAAACAAATTATTAGGGAAAAATCATACAATTAAATTATATATCTTTCTTTCATTAGTTAATTACAATGTGAAATTTCTATATTCATAATTTAATTCATTCATGTACAAATGTATTATATAGTCATAATATTTAAAGTTCTATAGTGTCGTGTCATATTTAAAGTTCGTTCGTGTTCTGTGTGTAAGTTCTGTCAAGTATTTATAAGTAAAATATCAAAACAAACACGTCATCATCATGTGTACCCAGTGTCTAGGATATTTCATCGTAAACAGACCGGTAGTTTTTGCGTAATGCTACAGACAGACGGAGACAAATTTTGTATGTTGTGTCTATCTAGTAACACCCCCAACTATTAGTAAAAAAATACATTTTAAATATTTTCTTATATTTCAATATAGTAAAAATTTGAACTTAAAAATATAATCAAATATTATGTATCAGAAGGTTCAGATGAGAGAAAAAATAAAAAAGATGCGCATAAAAATTTTCAAGGCGAAACAAAGTTCGCGGGGTCCACTTGTCTATAATATAGGAATGAATCGTTAAATGTGGTGCTAAGCGCATATATAGACGCCCGGGTGTCATCACTGCGAGGACCGCCCAGGGGACACGGTGGAGCGTACGGTGCCTTGTATGGGCGAGCACCGCCTTGTCCTCAGGGATGGGATTGGCGATGGTAACTTCTCGCGTCCGGCTCTGGTTCAGACCAGCCGTCGCGTGAGATCGCGAGACGATCTAAAAACGGCAACCGATTTTGCAAAACTTTTTGTTTTGTTTGTTATTTATTTATTTAATAATGCATGTACCTACACACAATCAGCACAGACGATCACACATGTATAAAATGTAAGTATCTACAAAGGTGCTACTTATTCCTGTCGGAAATTCTTCCAGTAGAGCTGAGACCGGGACAGTAATATTAAAAGTGTTACACACTGTGTCTTAACATAGTGTGTAACAAAAGAGGAATATTAACAATTTGAGAAAAACAAACAAAAACCAAAATAAAATATCCAGTTTAAAAACAGACTTGACAGATACACAACATTGAATTAACCACTGATAGAAAAATAGGATACACGCATTTATCAGTTGTTTCAACTGCCTGTCTGAATTAAATAAATAATAATAAATAAATAATAAAATAATGTCTAACTATGTAAGGTACAAATAAAAATAAAATACATATATAAATAAATGGATGTGTACGACACGTTTACTTATGTAGATATAAAGGTATTGATTGGTCTCTTATTGGTTTTTTAAAGGGAGCGATAGATATAGCGCCTAAAATGATGGGAGGGGCGCGGGGGCGCAGGGGCCGTTCCACAGCTTCACACAAACGGTGAAGGTGGTTCTTATACATACAAGATAATTAACTAAAACGCGAGGGAAAATTACCAATGCAACATAAAGTTCGAGGGGATTGCTAGTTAAAAATAAAACACTGCGTCATGTATGCCTTATAATATATTGATATCAGATTACTTACTAACAAATTATATTTCGTAATAAGTATTATCAATATAACAGAGTAAATAAGAATAAGGGAAATGCAATTCTTTATTTATTGACGTATGTTTCATTACCTATTATTATTTAATGATAAACATATATATGTATGTATATACTTACTTAATGTAAATTAAAATTAGACAAACTACGTACAATTTATCTGTTTAGGTACTTAGGCACATATTTTTTTACAATCAATACGTATTTCGTTATTTATACAGAACGTTTCATGGTATTCTTGAAGTATTCTATTAGTGGATCCACTTTACATGTATATATATATATGGCCAGTTAAATTTTCATATTTGAAATACTTAAAGCATCTGTGGAAGAATTAAAAATATATTGCGGCTCGTTTCCTACAGTAAATTAAAACTAAACAAATGTTCCTTTAGGAATCGCTAATTTTTAACAGTAACAGTCCCATGAGAAATAAAATACTTATGAAGGTTTGGAGTTCCTCGGTGGTGTGTCTACGTCTTGATTCATTTCTCATGTTTATGAACCCACTATTGATTATATTTTCAGCATGCAAAATATTTTCTTACAGGCAGTCCTGGGCTGGGTCGTGTAGAGGGCACGTCGACGCGAACACACGGGCCTTCCTTCCATTGTGCTGGGCCATCGGTGTGTCCAGCTGCCTCAGACGGAGCAGCACTCTTCGTAGATTCCTTGGTCCTACATATTATTATATATCAATAATACCTGCCACTTCATTTACTTTTGGTCTTTGTTCACTAGTTGTCAGATAATGGTAATACCTGTTCAAATCAAAGAGGTCAGATTCCTGAAGAGAAGCGTGGCAAGCAACACTTGTAGTAGTTAAAGTGTGGTGACGTCTTGCCTGCCGATATTCTTCGGCGTCTTCTTCGCCGAAAATCATCACGAGGTTCTGTTCGATTACATCCATCTAAATAAAATAGCATAAATCTTTGACATACATAATAAATAGGTACTTCATTTGATCAAAATGTTGTTCGGCAGTTAATCAATCACATTAGGCGACCGTTTTGTATAAAATCTCGGTAGTTTCACTATATTTATTAAACACGATTGTTTTATACACTAGTACCTACCTGACTGACGACGATAAGTTTGGAAGAAGTACGATTTTTGAACAATTCATAAATATTCAGACCCTTTACGCTCAAAATTACTAATAATTACGTAGGGACGTAGCTACGCATCGATTAGATGACTTTTATTATCTGTGACAAAAAAAAACTTAAATAAAATTATAACTAACTAGGTATTACAAAATTAAATATAATTATACAACTTAAGATTAAAATTAATTAAAAGAAAACTAAAAACGTAGAATTTTCGCAAGTTCCGTAAAACACCGTCGGAAGCAGTTCCATTTTTGAACAATTCATAACATCACGCTTTTTATCCCCGAAGGGGTAGGCAGAGGTGTACATTGCCGCAATTAATTACAATTAATAAACAGACACCACAAATAAAATTAAACTTAAAAATCAATTTTAAAAGTAACTTAACAAAAACAAAAATAAGTCAGTTGCTTTTTCTAAAATATTTATTTTTGTGTCAGTTATAACGATAGGTGGGCCATCTTAGAAATACGAAAGTTTCTTATCCTGAAAGGCATTCTTATCCTGAACACTATCCTTTGGCATAAATTATTTTCTTACTAGCTTTTACCAGCGGCTTCGCTCGCGTCACAAAAGGATAAAAAGTAGCCTATATATGACATAAGTATACCAATACTTTTGTTTTCCCTCGGGAATATCATTTTTTTCCGGGATAAAAAGTACCCTATTATTTGATCCAGACTTCTAACTTTACGTCTGCAAAAATTAAAAGCAATCGGTTTAGTAGTTACGGCGTGAAATCGGAACAAACAAACAAACTCACTTTCCGATTTATAATATTAGTAAGGATGCTTTATTCCAGCAAAACAATAAACTTATAAACATAGAAATAAACTACCATTACATTTCAATATTCTTAGGAAGGCCGATGCCATCTTAGGTCACCATACTGTGAGCCATTTTAGGAAAAATAACACCCGCGTTGAATAGAATCTCGTGAACATATAAAACGAGAAATAAAATAACAACACTCACGTGTAATTCACTGTTAAATAAATGAATTAAAAATGTTTGCTGTTTTAAGCTAAGAGAATTGTTTTTTAAATTTGTTAATTGTTAATACATTTGTTAATTGTTAATAAATAAAAGAAAATATGTTAATGTTTAGTATGAAAATTACATTTCTTATGTTATAATTATAAATAATAAGTAATAATCTACATTCTAGATACCTAACTAAAATTTATAATAATACTTACATAAACCACATACAATTAACATAAATATAAATACATGTTATAATAAATTTAGGGAAAATGTTTAATTATTTAGAATGAAAATACTTAATAACTTTTTTTATATTATAAGTAATTTAATTAGATTATAATTTGCTCTATATGTTGCCGTGCCCTAGCCGGGTTTTATGTTGAAAGTGTACCCCATTATGTAACACATATTGTACACATGATATAATATGCAACAATAAATTAATTGAATGAATTAGAATTTGAATTATTTTTCAAAAATATTAAAGAAAATTGGCCATCTTCGGAGCCTGGCTATTATTCAAAAAATTGTCTAGTAACTTTTTATGAACATGAAATAAGTAAGTACCTATATTATTCAACTTGGTATTTCGATAGTACGTAGCCGGTAGCCGCGAGTGGAAAAGCGATAAGTAAAAAAATCACACAGTATAAATATAAAATTAACATTATTTCAAACAGAATTTACATTATTTCTTTGGAAGATCGGCATCAGAAATGCAAGGTTTAATGTTGTCACACTTCCTATAGCTTATTGCGTCAGGCGCCGGCCGGCGGCACTATACACAGCCTAGGTAAAGCAACAGACTATATGAGACTACTATATGTATTCATAACATCGCGCCAAACGTAACACTGCGCAGTAAACAACAACGAATTGAAATGTTTGCCTTGAGTGGAGAGTTCAACAAAATAGAATATATTTGATGGGGCGACGTTTGACCACTATCTCGCCTGGTGGTAAGCGATGATTCGGTCTACGATGTTCGACAGTTCACAAATATTAAAAAAGTCAAACACAGTTTAAAATTAGGACTAATATAACTTTTAATGTTTTATTATACCTACGTACTTAGCTAGTTATCATACTTAGAATTTGTTTAATATTGATCTCTGTTTAATTACGCAAATAGATAGTAATTCGCCGCCCAATAACCACGCCCGGCAATAACAAGAAATAAGCACTAATATCGTATGATATAAATAAGTATACACTAACCTTGACTCCGCTCCGCACTGAACTCAAAACTCACAATAACAATGTTTTTAATTAATATAAACGCGGGAATTATTTTGCAAACGTCTACTTCGCGCCGTGTCAAATATTGTACTGGATCTAGTAATCTAGCACTGTGAGGCCCGTGGGAGCTCAACTCACGCGTAAGTGACGACGTCACTTTTAGTCCCAGTTTGCGAGACTATAGCGTTGACGTGGCTCTCTTGATGGTCTTGTTGATACATAAGTTATTCTATATCTAATTTTGTAGTACTTAGAGACTTGTTTCGCTATCCGCAACCTAGGCCGCGTAAAATTGGACCACTTTGCAATCATTTCCAAAACAAATCATCGGTATTATAAGTTCTACCTCTAGTGAAAATAGTCCTCTTACTCACGCAATTCTTGGGCTAGGAACTATTTGTTTTGAGCCATGCTATATTATAGAGACAATAATAAGTAATTTATCTTATTTTTATCTTACGAAAGTTATAGTAAAACGATAATAAAATAAACTTAAAACTTCTTCAGACTATGTAAGCACAAATTGTAATGAGGGCAAGATTACTGCCTAAAAGATACAAGGAAATATGGTAAAAAAATTGTTTTGATTTTCATAAAGTATCGTTAATCAGTATTATTTTCCTTATTTCGACAAAACAAAGCAATAATTTACTTGAGCAAGATAACAGTTTTGTATGAATTGGCGTAGTATCTCGTAGCTCGTAGCTCGTAGCCCGTAGCCACATTGCTATGTATGAACAACATAGACCCTCGATAGAATCTACAGTTTTACTATAACTATATGCGGTGTATATAAGTGTGGGAGAGCCACGCTTCGCCACGAATGGGCCGGCTCGACCGGAGTGATACCACGGCCTCACAGAAAACCGACGTGAAGCAACGCTTGCGTTGGGTTTCGTCGTGTGAGTGAGGTTACCGGAGGCCCAATTACCTTCCCCTTCCCCAATCTCCCCAATCCCTGAATCCCCAACGATCCTCAAACTCCTAATCCCAAAAAAGCCGGTGACGCACTTGTAACGCCTCTGGTGTTCCAGGTGTCCATGGGCGACGCCGATTGCTTACCATCAGGTGATCCGTCTGCTCGTTTACCGGCTTATGCCATAAACAAAAAATAGAGACAACTATATATAGATAGTATTTCTATATTCGATTGAATTATCTATAGCCTAACTCCCGTATTTATAAACAAGTAATTACTTAGACAGGTATTTTTGGGGTTAGAATTCTCAAGTACAAAATCATATTTTATAGTTAAGTAATGGAAGTTACTAAGCACTTGCTTAAGCAATGGTCATGGCTTAGCTGCAGATTGCAACCATTCCCTGCATTTTTGTGCTAGTGAAGGAAAGGCCAGGCCCATAGCACAGGTTATCCTAGTTTGGGTTCCTGACTTCCATCATTGTATTGTCACTTATATTACGCAAAACCACATGTAGAACCAGTCTTTCACAAACTTTGTCAATATTATAAAACTAGTATTAATTAAGGGTGATGGAAAAATAAATAAAATTTATTATTATATTCAAACTTTTGTATTTCTCGATATTTTAGGAATGCGGTAATTTAATGAAACCGCGGGCTTAGCAAAGTGAGTTTCATTTAATTGATTCGGTTCAATATCTCGTCGTCTTGTAGGAATTTGCGAACTATTCTGCACGTGTTTAGGATTGTGGCTTTTTGCATAGTTATATACGTATTTTTAGGTAGTTCACTTTGTTGTATGTAGTGATGAGGGTGTGTAGGTATTACACCGGTGCTAGAGAGCACCAGAGGCACAATGTATTATACTCTGTTCATCTTCCAGATTCTGATTATTTCCTCTTTTAAATCTGTATATTTATGTATTTTTTCGGTTATTTTTTTTTTGTAGATTGTGTGTGTTAGGGACTGCTATGCTTCTTAAAAGTAATGCCAAGGAGTGCCTTTCTGAATTTCGATTTCAATACACAAACCCCCAAGCAGTAATTTAAGCGTTCAAAGAGATCAAAGTTAAGTCTACTGAAGATCTTTGGGGAATGTCTGTTAGGGTGTGTAGGTCTTTTATAGTCTTTCATTTTTAATAAAAGTGTAGATCACGGAGTTTTCTCGGATTTAATGAAACATAGTAAAGTAGTTCCATTGTTTAAATCCAGTGATAGCGCAGAACCCAATAACTATAGGCCGGTCTCTATTTTACTAGCACTCAGCAGGCAATACCGGGCGATGTACAACAACTAAATGAATCCAAATTTAAATTATGTAGAGGTATAAAGAAAACTTTATGTAGACAAGCATATTACAAACTTAATGAATATATAGAGGATAAAAATGCTTGGATGCAGGCTAGTCCGGCTCCACAGGATAACTAAAACACTTGTTTTAATGAAATCGTAAATAATACAGCCATATTGCTAAATTGTATATTGTTTAACTTAGGTAACCATTGTAAATGTGAGAGCCCTGTAATTAACTTAATATTAAATTAGACTATCAGCTTGGAGTTGTCATGCTCACTCAAAGATCTCATTGGCGGTGGCGCATGCAGTGGATCGCTCGATTCCCTACAATATGGTTGAGTTGGGCGGTGCTGGTGTACGTGTCATGTTCGTGAACGGGAGCCGTCAACTGGGACTGGTCAGCTCCAGACTGTATTATTTATTGTCCTTAAGGTTATTTTCTTTTTCGATCACTTTAACTGGATTTTAGTGTTACATTGTTCTCGCACAATCCAAACATCAAAACTATGTAACTAGAGAATTGTATTGTGAACCTGATTGAAAAAGAGTAACCTATGGAGTTTCTTGCTCGTTCTTCTCCATAGGAATCTACACCTTGGAATGAGCAAATAGCATCACTTTTAATTTTTTTTTGGTGACGTTCAAAAGTGCCTTTCTGGTCTAATTGAAATGAAAGATTTTGACTTTGACTTTGAAAAAGGAATGGTCGTGTTGGCCAGGAGGTTAAAGACGCCCGCTTTTCATGCATGAGGGTGCGGGTTCGAAACCTACTAACGGCAAGTTACCAATGTGACTTTTTCCGAGTTATATGTACTTTCTAAGTTTATTTAAACAACTGGGCAGGTTGCCCAGGTTTCGTCACATCCTGAGGAAACCTGGGCTTATAATTTCTAATTATAGGTTCGAAATCGCCAACCTGCATTGAGCAAGCGTGGTGATTAATGCTTAAACCTTCTCCGAGCGAGAATAGGCCTTTGGTCAACAGTGGCCACTTATTATAGGCTATTGATGATGATGATGATGAATGATGAAGTAAAGGAATGAGCGAGTAGTTCTTGGCTAAGAATTTTAAGGTTTAAGTTATATTCTAAATCATTTTTTTAACTATAAAACATGTAGGCCCTCGATAGAATCCACAGTCTGTTTTGAAATAGAGACGACAGATATTTATTTCTATTTAAACGTTTTACGACAGCCTCGTTGGCCGAGTGGTCGCAATTGCGACTGCAGAGCAAGGGGTCTCGGGTTCGATTCCCGGGTCGGGCAGAGTATTACTGGGTTTTTAAAAAAATCTCATCTCTCTTCTAATTCTCTCTCTTAGTAGCACGGAGTCTGCAACTGTGCCCGGTTTAAGGCAATAGGCTCACCCCCTATTACATGGGACTTATAACATAAATAGTGAAAAGTGGGTGTTACATTGTGCAGTGGTACAATGTGCATCTCTGCCTACCCCTTCGAGGATAAAAGGCGTGATGTTATGTTATGTTATGTTTTAAAGTGGTTAAAATCTTAGTTATTAAGTAAAGAAAAGAAAAATTTGAATATTGTTATCATCGGTGTAGCACCAGATTTAAGTCTACGCCTGAATACTTATTAAAAACAAAACTGAAACAAACGTTACTTAACTAATATTATAATTATGCGAGAGTTTGTGTGTCTGTTAACTCAATCACATCAAACGGCTGAACGGATCGGGATGAAATTTTGGAACACGGATAGAATATGGTCGGGAATGACACATAGACTGCTACGGGCGCTGTACGAACGCGGGCTGCTGCTAGTACTCTCAACTCTGTATCCCACAATCCCGTCTACACGACGTGACGCCACTAGCGCACCATAATGCAGTGTATAGACTATAGACTATGTCGCAGGAATTGGGTTTTTTCTGGGGTCAAAAATAAATTATTTTGCTTATTCAGTCCAATTAAATATTGAAAAGTAGTTACACATTCATTCATGATTTGCCGATATACTTAATTTTCGATTTATTCTAGCATTGTTTTTAGATATAAAAGTGCTATTTAACGCGAAAATATGATGAATGACGTCATCATTTTTGACATTTCGATAAAAGTATTGAATTTGACTAGTTGTCAACTACCGTATTGAACCCAGGAAACATTGCAAAGTAGCCCAGCTACTGCCAACAAACATACTCTATTACACTCATGAATCTAACATGAGTCCGCCGATCGCTCGGTTCCATGGTCGGCGCAATGGCAAGGCAACTTGCTGATGTGCAGTGTGGCGGGTTCGATTCCCGAACTGAGTAAAAGTAAATTTTCGAAAATAATTGAGACGTCCCTAGCAGAAAGATTCATAACTGCTGTAGGATCATTACATGGGGTTGATGTAACTATTTTAAAAGAAGCCTGTAACGGTAGCTAATAAAAAGCAATTACAAAGGCGTTAATAAAAAAATACTTCATTGTTTGCAAAGTCAATTTATTTGAAACGAAATGTTATTTATTATACTGAGGAAATGAACTATCATACAACACTTGGATGTGTCCGTTGCTACAAAGGGTACTGAGAGAGCTTGTCTATTGTCCAGAGTTGGAAAAAAACAGACTATATTACAAAAATGGTAGGGGGCGTATGGGTGCGCAAATTAGAGTTGCCCGCTGCTTATCTATGACAGTAAGACATGAAACTAGTACTGACCTTTACTCATATAGAAGTAACTACTTCTGATATTTTAATAATACATCCTTGATTTAAAGACCTCAGAAAAAAGCAAACATGATTTATATGATATATCTAGATAATAATACGTCAAAACTCATAATAAAAAAGTAAAAAAATAAACTAAAAGTGTGACGACAATAAGTTTTCCTAATTTGCTTCAAGTACTTCACCTCGGATAATAAACTTGACTTGCCCGTTACTGTTAGGATTAGTTTTGTTTCTCCGTGGTGCTACTCTATTTGTCTGCCGTGGCGCCCTCTGCTTCCGTTTTGTAACTTTCTTCCTGTTCTTTTCCGCAGTTTTCTTCATTTTTTCCAATTCTTTCTCCGCCTCTTTCAATTCCTGCTTGAGTTCTTTTATTTTTGCTTCTGTGTCTATCTTTAATTTTTCCTGTTGTACTAATTCTTTCTTTAGTTCTGTT